CCCCATACCTTCCATTTTCCCTGTTTTTGCAGGGTCTTGGCTTCCCCTGTCTTTTTCATGTTGATCCATTCCTTCTGGCTCCATCAGCCACTGAGACGTCCATCGCTCCTGGACTGGGAAATTAACATGGTCCTTCATACCCTCACCTTACCTCCATTCGAGCTTCTGTCTATATGTTCCCTGTTTCACCTCTCTTTGAAGGCATATTTCCTCCTCCTCCTGGCCTGCAAACATCGTAGGTCGGATATTTTCGCTCTCGACGTTACCAGAAACTTGTACCACTCCTCCTATGTTATCCTTTATCAGGATCCTGGTTTCCTTCCTAAGAAATCTGTAGCTCGAGAAAGTCAGTCCTTCTTTTTCCCTATTTGCCTATCATCTATATCTCATCTCTACTCTCATCCTGATCCAAATAGACTTCTCTGTCCTGTCCATGCCCTCAGTTCTTATATTACTCACACAGGTTCCTTCCAGGGTCCTCATTACCACCTGTTTATACCTGACCAAATAGGTTCGACTTTTGATCCAGTTGGCCTATTTCTCCTTGTTTCCTTCCCAGCGTGATTTCTTTCTCATTTCCTCACATCAAATCCGTCGCCTTACCTTCTCCCTTGCCTCTTGTCTTCGTCAGCCATTGGAAGAGATTCTATGATCAGGCATGTGGACGACTCTGCACACATTCATCTCCCACTACCTACACCACATCACTGTTTCTGCTTCCTCATGGTATCAACTGCTGCCTGTGGCTATTCTACAGACTTCAAGACGACTGTGAATAGAGGTAAGTCCTTACTACTGCTTTCTTTTCTTTCAGGGGCTCTTGCTTCAGCTTCACTTTGGATCCCACTATGTGGCGAGTGGTGCCTGACCAGGTACTCTGTCTGTGCTGAGAATGGGTTCCCATTAGATAACTATAACCATTTGTAGACATCTTGCTATCAAATCCGCACTGTAAGTCATGTTGATTCTTATACATTTTCCATGACTATGTTCACTTACCCTCGAGATGCGGTGTTTCACAAAATCACTAGAGTGTAAATTTCTCGTGATAATTGTGTCATAATATGCCCATCCTGGACCATATCACCCATGGACAGCATGGGTAAAGCAAAAGGGGAATGCTGCCCATCCCTACCATGCCTAGATTGAATAAACTGGTGTGGTCTGCTTTTAAAAATATAGTTTCGTGATCACCAATTGCACTGCCTTGGGTGTTGCAGTCTCTCCAGATTCTTCATCACACTTTTACCCCTTTCATCTAGTGGCATATGGGAGTCTTTACCATACAGAAGTTACAAACCACTGGGATAATTGACCATGGAGGCAACCTGCTGGATGGGTTCCACAAAGATGGCTATAACCATTCAGTTCAGAGTAGGGCAGTGGTGTTCTGCTGATGCAGAGGGAGTTACAAGATCCTCCAGATGAGAAACTAATTGAGATGCCCAAATGTAGTTCACCCCTCAAATTGGGTGCCTTCCTGTTACCCTCCCGAAGATGTTGATACCTAGTGAGTGAGGTTTTGGAGATTAAGTGAACCAATCATATAAGTCCTCACACATGTTTTGGGATGTCCATCTTCCCCTCTCGACTTGTCTTCTGTGTTGTTGATCATAGAAGATCTATGTAGCCTGTTTCTGCTTCTGTCCTGGGTTTTCCCTCGTTGGGTGACGAGATTGTTACCAACCTGGTATTGTTTCGGACTGATTTCATGGTTGCAGGGGTTGAGTGCATGCAATGGACTTCCCTCAGATTCCAGATGACACATTCCTAGATCCCTGGCATTAGGCTACCATGTGAGTTCCTGGAGTCGAATGTTAGGTTCCCCCTTGACTCCGAGACTTCAGGTGAAGACTGTATGATCCTCATCCTAACCTTGCGAGGATGTCGGTACCCATTGAGTGAAGTCCATCACGTCCTAGCCACTCTACACTGTGGAACACATCCTCACTGGCCCACTTTCCATCATGGGATTGAGTGATTCTTATTTCTGTTAAAAATCATATTGCTAAACTATTCTCTCCCAAGCAGATGTACTTCCTTTATGTTCTGCCATGTTTGGTCCTCCTGATCATGTCGATGTTCCTGGTGAAGAGATACTTGGCTCATATGTGGTGTGATGCCCCTCCTCATGTCATTTGATCTGTTGCTCTCATTTTGGGGTGGACTCCAGATGCTTCCAGTGGATACACCTATGCTTTCCTCATGCCAGTTCCTCTTCCATTTCAATGTGGGACTCAAGGTAATCTTGTGAGAAAAGGGAGAGTACCTTATTGGAAGTTATAATTTTCCCAAATGAAAATATATTTCCAATAGGTACTTCCTTCTGCTCACACTTCCCACCCATCCTCTAGTGTTCGTGTCTTCTGCCAAACTTCGAATGGTAATGGTGTGTACAGGGAGTCACATGCATCACGTGACAGTAGTGCCCTCTTATTGGTGGAGAGGTAACACATGATGATTTGCATGAGAGATGTGTTGGAACTTTGGATCCCAACAGAGGAGGATGAAGGCTTGTCGCATGCATTTCTGAAAAGGTTCTCATATACAAGGCAGCACAAAACGAGAAAAGCTAATCTTGTGAGAAGAGGGAAGTACTTATCGAAAATACATTTTCATTTAAGAAAATTACAACTTTTGATATCCGTGGTAGGCAAAGTACAGATACCCCATTTTGTAATTTTTTGCTTATCAAACCAACTTCGGGGATATAAACCAAATAGTCGAACCCACTTTCCATGCCCTCCTATCACATTATCTCTTTCACATATTGCCAATAATTCTTTTGATGTTTAGACTACGTATAACTAATATAAAGGCAAAAGTTTTAATTTACTGAATGACATATAATTCTACCTTGTTCTAAGCAGAGTTTTTTAGTTATTTCTCCTAAAGGTTTAAAATTGTTATTGTTGAATTCAGATCAATCAACTACCGGAATTATTTTAAGCTAATTATGTCTTAGCTAGAATGCCAGTTAAATTGTAATAGTCAGAGGATATTGTTTGCGTTATGCGTATTATTATTTTGTGTTCTGACATGCATATTTAAAATAAACAAAAAAAGTTTGGTTACTAGTAATACCGCTACAAGGAACTAGGGTTAAGTATCGTCGAAGAACCCGGCGGCAAAAAAAACAAGAGACCCAATGTAAATACAAAATTTCTTGTTATGATGTGAACGCTTTTTTCAAGCTGGCGAAGTATGGTTATAATTAATTATACTTGTAATAAGACACTATTATTAGATCTATAATATTTCAACTCTACATTATTTATCCCATCTCTTATGGATTTTTCAAGAATTATTAGGGTGTTTAATAATTGTATTTCAACAACGCTATGTTAGCCATATCCACGGCCGACGACGCGTTTCGCTCAATACAGAGCTCATCAGACCGGCAGGGACGCAACAAACAACTAATATTCTGTGGTTGAAATACAGTTATTATACACTCATCTAATTCTTGAAAATCGTAAGGAAATAGATAACTAATGTAGTATTAAAAATGTTTTATGCCTAATACTAATATCTTACACTACATTTCTTGTTTTTATATAATTTCTTTATTTACTGTTATAAAAGTAACTAAAATGTAAAATTCGAAACTTATTAGGTTAGATAATGAAAATAATCGACTCAATCTATATACAGGTACCAGAAAAGTTTGTAGCCATAGGCACTTCAAGGAATTTTACAAAATATTTCCCACATGCTGTCCTTGTAATTCGAAAAACATTTGGATTAACAGCAGGTTTAACTCGACTTTCTCATACTTTGACAGCGCCATAATCAGTCAAGTATCTGAAATTAAGAAAAGCTGCAAATCACCTATAGTTCCAGACTTTTCGAACACCCTGTAATGTTAGATAAAAAAAAATTAAATACAGAGTTTTACTTTTAAAGACTTTGGATATTAATTTAGGATGCTTTAGAGATTTTGCTAATAAAATTTGAAAACTGTAAGATGAGAATGGCATTTTAAATCTGAACATGAAAATCACCTTGCACTCAGACTAGTATGAGTAACACTCTGGGTCTGATTCCATATTTTTCACGGATAAATCTTTAGTACAAATACTTAGTTAAAAATTTGATTTTTTTTTTTTGCGTATGAAATACTTGTACGTTTTGCTAACTGCTTGTTAAATTTCATGCAGACAGACTTATTTCATTTAAAGTTATATGTATATTTTAATGGTTACATGGTAGTTGCAAGGTCAGTCAAAGTGACCGAGCCTGTCATAACCGCACACCTGTTGTCAAGACGTGCCGTGGAAGTATGACTCTGGTTTACAACACTCTTCGGGCTGCTTACTGTCTGTGTTTATTTCTTTTTAGATCGTTATTCATGCATAAATACAATTTACTTTCAAGTTAAATAATTCACTTTTTAATCCCAGCATTATACCGTAGTCCTTTTACTAGACCGGCAGTTAATTGTGTAGTTTTCTTTTCCCTCTGTTCGTTTTTCAGCAAATATTTTTTTTTCTTTGTTGTTTTATTTGTAATTCGACGTCAACAACGTGTATTATCTTTTTTGTGACAAAGCATCGCACATAAGATTCCCGAATATTTTCTTATTTTGCGAAGAACAGGTAACTGTGCGCGGGTGTACCTTGAATTTTCATATAAGGTGCTTAAAACCAAACACAGTAAGTTTAACTTACCAATCGCATTATTTTTGAAAAGTGCTTACAGTTGTGAAGATGACAGCAATACTGCAAAATTACATGTAGAAAACTGTACGTTCAAATCATGAAACTCCTTTTAACAGAATGATTATCCTAATTTCAAATTCACAAAATTCGGTAGTTATAGCATACTAGAATAGAAATACAGTATATGATGAACGGCAATTAGATTAAGTTCGTAACACGTGAAAAATGGCTGATGGCTCAAACATGAGTGTTGTGTATTTTTATTTCATTTTTACCTACCTATTCTTATTCGACACAATGAAATAGATGGCAGTATAATCACTTAATATAGTTGTTTTGCAGTTTGGGAGAGTACTACTAGTTATTAACTTACTAGCACTAGCGAAATATACATATTACAAGGACTGTGATGGATAGGTCTGTGAGTGTTATACTAAGGTAGCTTACCTTTACGTTAGATAAAGTTACTTTTAACTTACTGCCAATAAGTAATAACGATGTTTTATCCAGTTCTGAAAGTTGAGGACTATAGTTTACCATTTTTGTCTATTCCCCGCTGCCTGCATCACCTTTTCTAATTCACTACTCAGCTTTCAGCTTCTCAAAATCAAATCCAGTTTCTACTAATGTCATCGAGCCAAGTGAGTTTGTGCCTGTCTCTCGCTCTTTATCTTTCGATTTTACCAATCAGAATTCCTGCCAACCTTCCCTCATAATTATTCTTATAATAATTGTATGTTCAAATACGGTATCATCCGTTTCCAAAATGTATTGGAATTTATCAAATTTAAAATGAAATATACAACTTTACAATACAAGTATTATTGCTAAATTAATTGAAGTATGTGTGTGTATATATATATATATATATATATATATATATATATATATATAT